CAACTCCAGAGGTGTGTGCCGGGATGACTCACCGATGTCGGTGTGTGTTTGTATGCACCTTAGAGCGTGTGGGTGTGTTGTGTGAAGTGAATGGCTTCCAGGATCCCCTGGGTTGCAGCTGAAATGTGCTCACAGAGAGCAGTCATGACTAAGACTGCATGCCTTTCATTAACACTGAGAGAGAGGAAGACACTCGGAGAGCACGGCTAGCAAAGTTTAATAAGTCAGCCGAGCTCGTCCAGTGTTGTAATTCACCCGAAGCACTTTGTCAGAACTAACAAGGTGTTTAGGAAAGTAGCCATAAACCCTTATAAAAATGGGTTTCTGCCCCTATATGGGATGGGATTATAGGCTGTGGTCATTTGGGATTTCCTTCCTGCTCTATGAAACTACTCACTCGGTCAGTCTTCTGCTTCCCTGTGACCCTAAATCTGTTTGGAGAGGAGAATTGTCTGAGCACACACATAATCATTTTCACCTCGTGGAGTTAGAACATTTTCCATCCTAGTTTTCATTGTTTTTATGTCCAATATCATCCACCCTTCTCTAATGTCTGAGACAATAAACATTCTTTTAGTGGGTTTTACTGCGACTACGTGATAGAGATACTATGTTTAAAATCCATCTGTTCTTTTCCACCCTTCACAGAAAATGATGGACTGTGAACACACAAACTCAAATGCCAACAGCTTGCATTCGTTTTCAGTTTGATATATGATTACATGTCACCGTATCTTGCAGGCCTTTTGGCACACGCAGAATATTTTCAGGTCAGGTTTGGGTTATGGATCTTAAAACTCGATTTAAATGGATTTTACTTCCCTTTTCTCTGCGGGCGGCGTTCCCCGAGGGTTGAGGTCTGCAGTTGCCTAAAAACATTGTCAGCTTGTGGGGGTTTGCAGGTGTGTGGAGTACACAAGTGCCCTCGTGCTTTGTAATTCATGCTCACCAATTTCTGAAAGTAACAGAAAGCCACAGGCAGGTCAGAAAAATCCATCCATCAAGTGGACCATTTGTAAGTGCTTTTGTCCTGATTTAGGTCGGCAGAGGTCGTGCTTCGAATGGGACTGAAATCTTGCTTTGTTTTTTAAGGCCTGAATCTTCCTTACGTGTGCAGGTAATGGAAAAAAACAACAACAACCGTCTGTGGTTGTAATAACCTTCAGTTCGGCTTTTGTCCTTCCTTTCTTTCTGGTTTGGGGATTTTACCTTTACTTCCCGTTCATTCTAAACCATCTTATTCTCAGGGGCATATCCATTGGTTTTGCTTACTCCACATCCCTCTTTAGTTGCTACTTGCTCAGATTATTTACCTCCTGCTATTTACAACCCAGTTCCCTTTGTTCTTGTGTGTACTCGCTGTGTTTTCTGTTCTGTTTTCGGCTCCGTTGTCAGCTGACAACATTTTTGCTGCATTTTTGGTGGCTCTTCATTGTAAGTGGGACCACATAAGACAATCAAACTGATACTTTTGGGCCTCAATTTGTACCTTCTCAGCCAGGTTTTAAGCAAGCTGGGCCAATGCTATAGTGGGGCTTCAAACCTTTGGCTGCAGCTGAGCGCTCAATGAAAAGGCTTATGTAAATTCAGCCATAGCTATGATCAAGTTGTGCTCCACATTTGTAAGTCGCTTTTGATTGAATTTTGTTCTTAGATCAATATAAATGTAATAAAACACATACTGTGACACAGCCTGTGTCACTGTAGCTTTACGCAAGCTGTGATGATAAGAGTCTGATCCCACCAACAGTGTACTGTCTGGAATGATAAAATGAACCCTAAAGAGCCACATTTGGACTCTCCACTTGACTCCATTTGTGTATGTTTTGTGTAGAGAAAGTGAGCGTAAGAAACGCTGCTTTAAAAGGCCTTTTTACTGCCCTCATGGATTGGTTAGCTTTGGTTTTAAATGACTGAAATATTGGTCATATTTGTTGATAAATAAATGGAAAAACTGGGGAAAAGTGAAAGACGGTGGACCTTATGGTGAGAAACTGAAAGAAACTATAGAGGTATACATGGACGTCCATGAACCTGATGAGATTACTGACAACTGAACTAGATCATCTGAGATTCCTGAAAATGACGTCAATTATGTGCCTGCATTGATTGTTGATAAGATGAGGATATTCCATCGTGTCTAAGATCTATCTATTTTGGGGCGATAGTAGCTGGTAGTAGGTGGAAAAGAAAACATGAAGCAAAGGATCATTTTGGATCTGGGTCACAATTCTGGACCTGACATGACACCATATGAATCCATGGGTGAGAGAGTGAAAAGAAGGAAAGAAAAAGCTGTTGCTGGTGACTTTAGAGGGTACCCGTCATTTTTCTCAAGTGTTTAGATGGACTGAAAGCCATCAATCTTTATCTCTGCCCATAGAAACATTGTATATCACGGCACACAACTAATATAAGACGTAAATCACCAGCCAGGCTCTGAAAATTTGTTCTGTTTTGAACAACAAAAACATTAGATATGGCTCTAAATGGATATAAATCAGAAAACCTTCACAAACATGTTAACTGAAAATACTGTGTGTTAGGGATTTAACACATATCTCTCATGTCGTGTCTCGTCCTTTTGGAAATAAGAACGTTTACAGTTTCTTCTATCGCTGAGTTTAGGTAAATCTCCCCATCACCTGCAGCCTTTGCTGTATGAAGTTAATCGGCACCTATTTGCATGAAAATGCTTTGGCCACTGCAGACGGAGGTATTTCTGGGTACTTTCGACTGGCAGTGCTCCCTTCAGCTGAGGTGGGACCTGGCAGAGAGCATGAATCGATGCAGGCGGCACCGATGTAGATGTTGAGCCATTTGTTAAGAATACAATACATATGATATATTAGCTCCTAATGCAAGGTGGACTGATGAATGACTCCATGCTACAGTATTGATTTCAGCTGTTAAATCCATTCCTTTGAACCTTCCATCAAGGAGGTAGTAAAAGATAGTTAATGGGTCAAAGGAGGATTTTTGCATTGATCATTATATATTCTAAAGATGAGAGTGTAGAGCTCTGTACTTATATTTACATTTCTGCCAACTTAAGCATAGTACTTCTCTTAAATGCCTCTGAATTTAGAGTTAACGTAAGTATTTTTGTGGTTATTTTGATCCGGTTGTGAGGAGGCGATGAAGTAATCTTCCTTCTTGCATGAAATATTATAAATGCAGGTCATAATTCGAGTTAACAAGTGGGAGGTTTCTTCTTTCATTGCCATTTAAATCTAATATCCTTCAACATCACTGGCATTGCTGACTCATGGAGGTCACAGCCCTCTGTGCCAAGTCATGGGATTGATAATTAATCCAATTAATCTTCGGGGTCTGAGTGCCATACTGGACACAGGACTCATTTTCACTCATCTTAATGCTGAAACAGAAGATGGTGCTACTTCTGACTCATTTGAATGCACCTGGGAGCAGAGAGTAAATCAAGGTGCACCTCGGTGTTCTGTTAATGAGTCATATCCTGTTTTTTGTCTGCAGCGAGGATATTGATGCTTGCAGGAGACACCCTATGACAAATTGACTCACAAGAGACGCTATCAGTGGTCTGAAACTGTCAAAATGATTCAGCGCCAACTTTAACAATTGATTTATCATTGCTTGATTTACATGACCGGCATTCTCGTAGAGGATGTGCTTCAATCTACTGGAAAATATTACATTAATCAAACAGCAGGTAATTGCAGTTAAATGCATCCTTGCATGAGACGTGCTTATATCAAAGATTGCCAAAGACTCTATAAGAGACTAAACTACTATGCTGGTGTGAATGTGAGTGTGGGATGATTAAAGAGGGGCGCTCATAATTTCCCTGCTCATGTTGTACTTTTATTTATGTGCTGTTTCATTCTGAGCCAAAGATCCAACCATGTTGCATTAGTTGATGTTGCCTTTCCTCTTTATCACCTTGCGTCATTGTATACTGAAGCAGAAGTGCACAAGCAGTGCAACATTAAGCTGCTTTGGCTTAATTTAGATGAATAATTTAGAGAATATAAAACTTGGTGTTAGTGTTTTCCCCACATGAATAAAGGTGTTGCAAGTTAACGGAAAACATGGCTGTTCTGAGCTTTAATAATCCACTGAATATTAAGAGATGCTCTCGTGCTCTGTCTGTCTGCCACAGATTAGAAAAGAAAGGTGCAGTTTTGTTGTGGTTTTATGGTCTTTTCTGATGATTGACAGAGATTTTTCCCTTTGGTCTGTAACCCAGTTTTGAGACGAATAACAAAAAAAAACCTGAATAAATTTTTATCATAAATCTACTTTTTTTTTTAACCTTTGAGGGAAACACGCTTTAAACCCCAAATGCGTGTACAATAGCGATCATTTTCACAAAGATAAACAAGATAACGAGGATGTCCGCTCTAAGCATTGCACAGTGTTATCTTTATCACTTAAGCCATTAATGGACCTGCGATATATGGATAATTTTCATTCTGCAGCTCTCACTCTGTCAAGGTCATGATGTGATGGTAGCGGAGTGGAGTCTGTTATCTTCTGCTCGCTGTGTCTGTCTTTGTGCAAAAATAGTGGCGAATGTGTTTTTGTAGAACTGTGTTGTGAAAGTGATACTACATTTCTTCTGATGAAAATGCCTCCCCATCCTGAACTATTCACGGATTATTTCTAACCTTCATGACTCACTTTGCTTGCTCCCCTTGTGTGTTAATGCTAGGCGTGGATAATTAGTCTAATTTTAGCTTGGTGTGTGTGTGAGAAGAAAAAAAACACACCGGACAGTGAGGATGCTGGAGGCTGCATCAGTTTGACATGCTGTTATCTTCCTCCATGTCAGTGTCCCTGCTCCCCCTCCCCCCTGTTATCATGGACATTTGGGACAAAATCATTTTCAGCGTATCTTGTCAGTTTTCTTGGATCCATGATTTTGCTCACGGCTTAAGACCTGTTGCACCCGATAACGAATCCTGCTGAGATTCATCTCATTTATTAGTATTTTTTTCTCTTTTTTTTTGTCTCCCCAGCAGCGGATGCGGTGCCAGTGCGGAAGGATGGGGATCAGGTAAAGTGCTGCCGTCTTCTTTTTCCCATTCCTCTACGCATTGATCAAGAGTCCTATGTTTTTAAAGGCTGCTTTGACACTATTTTGATCTTTTCTGACATGACACTTGTCTCCATTGTTGCCCTCTTTTCAGTGAATATTTCACTTTGTCTGTGTTGTCTTTTTTTTTTTAACAATTCATGCAAGTTTCAAGTGATAAAAGCATTACCAATCATCTGCGACAACCAGTTTTCATCTAATCTGTGCCCAAATCATCACTTTGAGCTGCTTCTCCTGTTTTTTTGGTCACCAGAGTGACGCTTTCTGGGCATATCACTTGTTGCAGGATTTAGTGGATGACTTAAGAAAAGGAAACAAGCAAAGCAAAAGAATAGGAGAAAAAAAGAAGGCGCACTTTGAAAAAGTAAGCTTAGTGGAGCCCGTTCACTCTGGACGGCTACACACAGCTGGTTCTCAGAGATAAATGGGATAAATGAGATACAGACACTCACCCAAAAAGGGAAATAGCCTATTTCACACATCAGAGACAGTATGTGAATTGTCAACTTTGCTCACTTGTTCACTGTATAGAGGACTTGTCAGTGAGTCAGAGTAGACCGCTGCTGACACGTTTCAGTCGCTACTTGACTACATTAATGCTTCACAATTATGCATCCTATCGAGTCCTGCATCATATGGACAGATATTATCAGGATACATACATACCAAATCCGAGAGGAATGAGTGACTGCTGTTTTTGATTGAGATAACAGTTGGATTTACATCACTCTTCCGGACATAAAGGGAGACATTATGCCCTTTCTTTAACAAGCTGATATGACTCTCAGCTCTTATGGACAGGTTTCTGACAGGCTTTGGTGGAGAATCACAGAAACACGCAGCAACTCTTTCTCTTTGAATGTGTTTCACCTTTACTGAAGCAGATCATTCCGGCTTCACAGCCTCTCTCTGTTTTTTTGGGTCAGCTTCTTTTGAGAGCTGTAGTATTTAATATTCCTTCAGGCGCAATTTTGCGATATGGGAGATCTGGATATACCGTCTGACAGCTTAGATCTCACAGCACACAGACACAGCAAGGCAATATTATCCTCAAATACTTTTATCAAATATCTCCCTTCTCTGCAGGTGGACCTCACAGTTTAAAGGGACTGATCCTTCTTTTAGGTGTGATCTCGTTGTGATTCATGTGCTGAACATTCATTGGATTTAATTATGAAAAGATTAAAGAATCAAACAAAGTACCGCTCAAACATCTCAAACAGCTTAAGTTATTTCTTTTTATTTGGTGGTGGGATTTTACATTTATTGCTAAATCATACACAAAAGATATTTCTGAATAAAAAAGCTTGGACAAAAAAACCTTATAAAGTGCCCTCGGAAAAATGTATACAACCCAGTCATGGCACATTTCCATAATTATTGGAAATGCCTATATTTTTCTCTCTCTGAGTTTTGGAGTTGTTTTTAACTTCAGGCACCATCATAGTTTTTCCATGGTATGTGCTATTGGGGTGTATTATGGAGATGGTCGTCTTCAAATGGCCAAGGTGAAGATGCTGCAGGAAAAGACTCCGCTGAGACAGACTTGGTCGAATAAAATAGGTTTTTATTGTCAGCCAGGTGCATATCAGAAGTACAGATGCAGCTGTTGCTATGGGTATGGAGATGGTGTCTTGTCCTCCCGTATATGCTAACCTTGAGTCTGTACATCACCGTTCCTGGCACTTAGCTCCTTTGATGGCATATCTTAAGAATGTGTTTATGTCAAGTGAAGATGCCTAATGATAACGTTACGTTAATTATTTCAAATCCCAGCAGTAGTTATTTATACAAAGATTAGCTCATGAGGATAATTTCCATTCGAATAATAAAAAGCAGCGGCATTACAGCAGCCACCTGGGGAGTATTGGGAGTTCATCCAGCCAGCTCACACCTCGGTTTTTTCCCCCCTCCGTTTTCTCCTGCCGCGATGTCCACGGGCTGCACTTACCTTTTGTTACCACGCGACAAACTCTGCACCACATGGTGCACTTTACTGCCTGGACCGGTTATGATCTGACAGGTGATGTTTAACCAATAAAGAAAATGAGAAAACTTTCTTACTTTGCCACAGCTGTGACACTCAAAGAGAAAATGAAAAGCTGAACACTGTACAGACTTTCCAATCTAATAAAAGTATCTAAAAATGTTCTAACTAAAGCCTTTTCATTCACATCTCCTTGCAGATACAGTTCTGTGTGGCTGCAGGTGCCTTATGAATGGACAGGGTCAAGAGGTCAGAAGTGATTAAGTTCCACTTTATATCGATAATCTGAAAAAGCAACCCCCCCCCCCCCACCCCACTTTTAGGTCAGTGCACCCAAACATGAATCTGTCTAATTTACAGATGATGCAGCCAAGACTTTTTAAAGATGCCCTAACAGTGGGATGCTCTCAACAGGCTGAGCCAGTTATCTGACCTCAATTCAAATGATTATTCATGTAACTGCTGATGAATAGGCTGAAGGCAAAAAGCCCTGGAAGGCTGTCTCCTGTGTGTGTCTGGCATTGTCACAAGGGATGTCTGCGCTGTGCAGACTTATTGAAATATTAAATATGGTGTGTGTGTCCTCAAAACCAATGAGTAAAGCTCATGGAAAACAGTCACATCGGCTCCATTAGGGTTTGTTGTATGATATTCTCCTTCCTGTCTCTATAATATACCAGAAAGGCCATTTCAAAAGCATAAAAGAGACATTATGAATGTAAATTTGTGTACAACTTACTCAGAAATGTTGTGATAAGGGCCTGGCGAGGCATTATGGGCTAAAGAGTGCTCATTTTCTTTCAAAAGTCGACAGTCCAGATTAATTAACCGCTGTTAATTGGTGAGGGTGTGAATGTCAGCTGTATCCACGAGTGAGCTGTGGCTTGTCCTTGATGTACTTTCTCTCCTTCTGCTTGGAAAAGCTCAACTTGCATGATAAGCAGGAGGACGCAGATAGTGAAAGATTGATGGTGGCACTGGAGGTTATGCATAAAACGATCAAATTAAAGCTCAGGGGTAGCACCTTCCCCACATATTAAATATTTGATCCGAAATCCACTGTTCTGGAGTCCATTATAATATTTCATTGGCTTGTCATTTTGTAACTGCTGAATATATGTTAGAAATTATTTATGATGAATTGTTTCTTCATCAAAAAGACACTGGACGTGTACTTCTCCTCCTTAAATGTCACTGTAACCATAGAAATCAGCATTATGTTTCACTTTTAGAGTCTTTTATTGGTGAATAGGGTGAGAAACTGTAAGAAAACACACAAAAAAAGTATGATAACAGTGGCATCACCCTGCAGAAGCTCATATTAATCAAAGCTGTATGCTCTCCTGTGTGTATCGCTGCACTCTCGTGACTGGCTGTGTGTGACTCGGTGTGAAGGTGTGTCTGTGTTGATAGCCTCTTACCAAGGCCACAGAGCTGCTCTCCCCAGGGCTCAAACTATTACTGGGCCATGTATCACTTCTCAGCTGTGGACTCTGGAGAGAGACAGAGGCGCACAAAGAATAAGACGGTAGGGTGCACAAACAAAGACATTCATCTTATTGAGTTTCATGACAAACCGCTGTTTTCTTTTCTGTTTCCTGTTGTGTTTGTTTTCAATGTGAGGCCATGAAGGCTGACATACTGCTCTACATGTCAAATATCCTCTTGTTACCATAAATACATTAAACGCTAAACTAATTCAAACTAAGTGAAAGCAGACTTGAGCCATGTTTTCCACAAACCATGCTGCTTTCTACCTCCCACCTGTGGGGGGAAAATAATTTCTAGCCTCATGGGACACGTTTCTAGCTTTGGGATCGCTTTTAGAATTCGGTAGTTTGGGTACTGCGGTGGATTTTCGCTAAGTTTTTGTCAAGCAGTGATCTCACAGCAGCCTTCAAGTCGTTTACTCCCTCAAACAGGCCTCCTCTGTGTAATTTATGGGCCTGCAGAGGGAAAGAGGCCAGCAGGTGGAAGGGAATTTGACACAACATGACGCAGGAAATCAGCGAAATGAGGTAATGTCTCAGACAGGAGGCTCAGGTCCAAGTCTGAAAAACAAAATCACAAAATAAATCAGTACAAATACAATCAAAAGAAAAATTGTATAAAAGAGAAGAAAACTGCTGACAACAACAATTCTAGCATACTGATTATTAGTGTGATGATGATGATGATGCGTCTAATTTTTCTTGTTAATTTTCGGTATTTTAATCCCCAACATAGCCTGCTTTATAGTCTGTTCAATACCACACAGTACTATATTTTAGTATTATAGTTAATCAAAATAAATAACTCTTCCAGAGACTGGGACTTTGAATTCACACATGCATACTGTCTTCATAGTCAGTGTTCACATCGCATATTTAACTCCAGCTAAAAGTGGGGAAAACATCCATGCCGCATAGGGCCCAGCGGTGGGCGCATTAGCTGAAACATCAGCCTGTTTGTGGTTCCGCTAAAAGTCCGATCAATACCGAGCGATTCAGCCAGATCTCCTCTGAGGATGAACGCCCTTCAAAATCACAACAGTCTGGCTCGAAGGATGCAGTGCAAAGAGCCGTCTGACCGAGATTTGGTCTATAGTTTTGGAGTTCAGTTGAGGTTTTATAATTCCTGGAAGACATTCGACCCGTTCAGGTGTTTGCTTTTTTCCAGTTGCTGTCTGAGTGCACATCGTTTAGTCACCGCTACACCCTAAAACATGGTTTCTCTACATTCTTATGTTTTAAAACACACGTTTTGAGTCTTATTCTTCTTTTCCAATGCACTGCATGCATTTGGAGTATTGATAACGGAAGACTTTGCCACTCCCATCCATTGAGCTAAATCAAGCCTTCCTGGGGAAGATTACCTCCTGTTGGGAAAACTGCTGTTCTACATTAAATATACAGGCTGCCGACTTTGCCTTTTAGTGATGCATTTTTAAAACAGGAACCTTGAACCGAAGCAACGAGAGCTGAGTTGTGTCTTG